CACAGAGGAGCTCGAGATGTCCGGCAAGAAGTGCTCGGTCGCATGCGTGGCTGCGGTCTCCGGGAAGAAGGCAGCAAAGCTCGTAGCACAGGCGTGATGGGTGTCGGCGCAAGTCGCATTCTCAGGACCGGTCAGGCTTGCCAACAGACCACTCAGGGGTCCGGCTGCAGCCTGAGACCACACCAGCGCGAAGACAAAGCCACGGATCATTGTGATGACACGAGTTGGCAGTATTGCTCAAGAATACTCAGCTTGACTTCTCAATGTGCTGCGGCACGTGTGTGATGAAATTCTGCCATGCTGAGCAACAGCTTCAATCCCAATCAAACGATGATGAACGATGTAACAAGAACCGTCTGCCTGCAGGCCTTGCAGGTGCTAGTGATCTAGTCTTGGGATATTCCTCCTCAAACTGCACAAGCATGCAACGCTTGTCCACAAGTCCTTTTCGATTGCTCAGAATGCATCCGAGTCATTACGCAACAGCCGTCCGAGAGGCCTGTCAACTCGATATTTGGAACTAGAAACCACCGTCCAAGACACTAGTAATCGCTAAGAGTGCACAGTCCTTAGTTGTCCTTGGCTATATGTACAACTGCCGAAAGCAGTGCTGACCCTCACATGAGATGGTTCTCTGCATGCGAGCCTAAGTAGTGGCTTGAGCTTGATACTCACAGCCCAGCAGCAATTGTACTCACCAGAAGTTCGTCGAGATGGGCCACGCAGCCGCATCACTTCTTCTCGAAGCTCACGAACATCCGGGGACGTCGACCGGTCAACAAGGAAGAGGAGTCGAACTGATCCATGTGCCCATCATGGTGCGCGGCGCTTGCATCTGCCACAGAGGAGCTCGAGATGTCCGGCAAGAAGTGCTCGGTCGCATGCGTGGCTGCGGTCTCCGGGAAGAAGGCAGCAAAGCTCGTAGCACAGGTGTGATGGGTGTCCGCGCAAGTCGCATTCTCAGGACCGGTCAGGCTTGCCAACAGACCACTCAGGGGTCCGGCTGCAGCCTGAGACCACACCAGCGCGAAGACAAAGCCACGGATCATTGTGATGACACGAGTCGGCAGTATTGCTACAGAATACTCAGCTTGGCACCGCAATGTGCTGCGGCACAGCCACGCTTCTGCTCTGCATGCGGATCAGCAGCTTCTATCCAAATCAATAGATGCAACATGAACAGCCTGCAGGCCGTGCAGCCACTTGTGATCTAGTCCTGGGATATTCCCCTCATGCATGTAACTCTTGACGACAAGTCCTTTTCCGATGGCCGCAGAATACATCCGAGTCATTACGCAACAACCGTCCGACGTGCCTGTCATCTTGGTGTTTGGAACTAGAAACAGCATAACATGCTACCCCTCGGTGAAATCGCCTCACCGTCCGATACACTAGTAATCGCTAAGAGTGCACAGTCTACATTAGTCTACACTTGCACTTGGCTAAGCACAACTGCCGAAAGCAGTGCTGACGCTCACATGAGATGGTTCTCTGCATGCGAGCGCTCTGCCTAAGTAGTGGCTTGAGCTTGATACTCACAGCCCAGCAGCAATTGTGCTCACCAGAAGTTCGTCGAGATGGGCCACGCAGCCGCATCACTTCTTCTCGAAGCTCACGAACATCCGGGGACGTCGACCGGTCAACAAGGAAGAGGAGTCGAACTGATCCATGTGCCCATCATGGTGTGCGGCGCTTGCATCTGCCACAGAGGAGCTGGAGATGTCCGGCAAGAAGTGCTCGGTCGCATGCGTGGCTGCGGTCTCCGGGAAGAAGGCAGCAAAGCTCGTAGCACAGGCGTGATGGGTGTCGGCGCATGTCGCATTCTCATGACTGGTCAGGCTTGCTAACAGACCACTCAGGGGTCCGGCTGCAGCCTGAGACCACACCAGCGCGAAGACAAAGCCACGGATCATTGTGATGACACGAGTCGGCAGTATTGCTCAAGAATACTCTGCTTGGCTTCTCAATGTGCTGCGGCACGTGTATGATGTAATTCTGCCATGCTGAGCAACAGCTTCAATCCCAATCAAATGCTGATGAACGATGCAACAAGAACAGTCTGATTGCAGGCCTTGCAGTTGCTAGTGATCTAGTCTTGCGATGGTCTTCCTCAAACTGCGCACGCATGCAACTCTTGACCAGTTGCAACTCTTGCCGGCGACAGGTCCTTTTCCGATTGCCACAGAAAACATGAGTATGAGAGTCATTACGCAACAACAGTCCGAGATGCCTGCCAGCTCGGTATTTGGAACTAGAAACACCATAACAAGCTACTCCTCGGTGAAATCGCCTCACGTTCCGATACACGACCATCACTAAGCATGCACAGTCATCGGTTGCTCGTCGCTATGTGTACAACTGCTGAAAGCAGTGCTGACGCTCACATGAGATGGTTCTCAGACTCTGCACGCAAGCGCTCTGCCTAAGCCGTGGCTTGAGCTTGATACTCACAGCCTAGCAGCAATTGTACTCACCAGAAGTTCGTCGAGATGGGCCACGCAGCCGCGTCACTTCTTCTCGAAGCTCACGAACATCCGGGGACGTCGACCGGTCAACAAGGAAGAGGAGTCGAACTGATCCATGTGCCCATCATGGTGTGCGGCGCTTGCATCTGCCACAGAGGAGCTGGAGATGTCCGGCAAGAAGTGCTCGGTCGCATGCGTGGCTGCGGTCTCCGGGAAGAAGGCAGCAAAGCTCGTAGCACAAGCGTGATGGGTGTCGGCGCAAGTCGCATTCTCAGGACCGGTCAGGCTTGCCAACAGACCACTCAGGGGTCCGGCTGCAGCCTGAGACCAAACCAGCGCGAAGACAAAGCCACGGATCATTGTGATGACACGAGTTGCCAGTATTGCTCACGAATACTCAGCTTGGCTTCTCAATGTGCTGCGGTGCAGAATGGTGCAGATCCCTCTCACATGCATGAGACCAGTCGTCAGGGTTGCATCAGGGCTTCCCCAGCTACCTCCAGACAACACAGGCAACACACATGCACAGCTTCGTAGCGCCGGCCCCTCACGAAGCTCGGTTTAAAGACAGCTCCATGTCAGCACCTAGCGAACAAAAAAGCACTCTCATGTTTCAAGAGTGCCTTGGGAGTCTCCTGGACATGAAATCGAAAGCCCCGTCCAAAGAGACCAAGAGATGGCGTGGGCCGGAAGAAGCTCAGGGAGAATAAAAGCCAAGTCGAAAAGAGCGCTTGAAGTTTTACGCCGGATAGATTTGAAATCGTGCTGAAACTTCGCCACACAGCCCTTGCCAGTCAAATCGTCCCAGCTCTGGTTGTAGCACTGGGTCTACTTATAAAGACTTCCGAAAGCGGCATTTCGCCAGCTTGCGGACTATATCGTCGCTAATCGGAGTTGTCGCACTTCATCGCCAGCACTCGCCGACTGTCGATGGAAAGGCAACGGATCGTCCAGGTTGACCTGCGTCCACACGCCTGAGGTAGCATGCAATCTAACATTCTCCGGGCCAGGGCTGCCTTGCAGGAAGCTTTACATCGGTCCTGTCGCTAGGAGGTTGGTGACGAGCTCTTCCGGCAGAACGCGATCATCCTTCACCGGAACCATGCGCAGGACGTCCTGCAAGCCCCAAAAAGAGCGGTGGAGGAGAGTAATCACCAATACTCTTAACCCTATTCGAAATATTCAGGCCCGTATTATAGTATCCTATACTACCCTTAAAGGGGACCCTATTATAGTACCCTATAGTCCGCAAGTCTAAAGGAGGGGAGGGTCTTTGGCCGAAAGCCCAACGCCAGTCCTCGGCAAAGGCGACCTGTGGATCTGCATCGTCCGAGGGCAGCGCCCATTGGCTGCGAAGGCAGGAGGGGCACTGACGGCCTGCGGCAAGATATACTATACTATATACCATACTTATGTATACTATACTTATAAATACATATATATATACACATACATATACATACAAATATATATATATATATATACACACTATACTATATACTATACTATATACTCGACGATATTCTCACTGACGGCCTGCGGCAAGAGGCCAACTGAGGGTGCCGGTTTCTTGCTTAAGCCCAGCTCTCTCCCAGAAACTGAAGCAAGACGGGAATAAGACGCCTTGCAAAGTAAGTTCGGGAGTGAAGCTACATGGCATGCTCCACCGAGCCTTTGAACGGTCCACACTGCCGTGTTGGTGTGTTCCCTCAGTTCTCTGAGACATAGTATCATAGAGAACAGACACAAGTCCCTCGACTGTCGTATAAGTGCCCAGTAGCAGCTAGGGCAGCAGAAGGACTCCTCCTCTTCCTCCAAACAGTCGCCTAGGAGGCGGTTGAGGTTGAAGGGGCGTTTCTTGGAATTTTCTTCTCTTTGCGGCCAACGCTTGGGTGTTTCTTTCCGCCAAGTTGCGACCACAATAAAGCAAGTGAGATCCGGACCGCATACCTCGGGTTACCTGCCATGAAACCGCGACTGCCGTGGCAGCTTCGCTCCAAATCCCACAGACATCATCTGCCTCTGCGCCCTCGTCGTTGTGAGAAGGCAAAGGCTTCCTGGGGAGTTGGCTCCGCTTGTGCCTCATTTGCAATCAAAGGAATCCAAGGAGAACAGCCGGAGATGCCGCAGATGAAGCCCAGTGGCAAATACTTTTGCCACACTCGCGGTGGGACTGTAGAGCAGACAGGTCGAACCAGCCAGCCGTGCTGCAACTGAGCAGCCTCTCGTGAGATTTTGCAAGGCTTTAAAGCAAAACAAAAGGGTTCCTAAAGATCCAAGCCCCGGGCGAGTCGCCGGCGGCGGTTTCTCCTGCCGTACCTCCAGGGCCACGGCGAATGGCTGGTTTGAACATGTACTTGCCACCGGCCGTTCGTCGACAGATGGAACCCGAAACTGTCATGTTTGCTTGCCTCGACGGCTTCAGATGCGCATGACCTTACAAGCTGCGTTGCGCCCCTTCGACTCTCAGAACGGCCCGACGCCGTCCACCCCATTGAAACTGGCTTCCAAGTGGCGGAAAAAAGCCCGCACTGCGGTCGTTGGGCTCCAGCGCGTCTCGGGAGCTGACATGACTTCGGAGATGGACTGGGCCAGCAGCGACCTGCACTTCGTGCACTTCGTCGAAAACTCTGGAGGCTGTCTGGGGCTCTTACTCTTGCCTGTCTGCCATGATCTCGAGAATCAATGTCAAAACCCCTCTAAATTCTAAACTCCAAAGATGCCCGAGAGCCTCTGACATGAACTGCTCTCAGGGGCCTCTCCAGCGTCACCTCGTTAAAGGGCGAGAGCAAGATCCTCGGTGACTGGCACCGGGGGGGAGCTCAGGAACTGGTCTGGTCCCTGGCAGAAAGAGATGCCGTGCACCAGAGGAGTATATAAGGATCAGTTTTAGCAAACTTTAGGAAGTTGGGTTGCCCGTCTGCCTGACTGCATGCTCAGGCGCTGCACAATCAAGGGCTCGCCGGAATGACTGTTTCTCAACAAAACCTCGGGCGACCCAGGATGCAATCTCAAGCACGACCATGCATCCGATCGCTGCTCTTGCGACGCCAGGTTACCCCTCCACGCACTCTGCGGACCATGCAGACGTCCCTGGTGTTCGGATGGACGACGACCCCGATCTGCGAGAGGAAGATCCTAAGGGCGAGGAGGGCCCGGGCCCCTGAGGCCCAGCTGCCTTTTTTCCCCTCGCTGCAGCTAAGACTCGTCGGCATGTTCGATGCACTCTGGAGCACTTCAAATCTAAGTGGGTCGGGTGGCTTCGAATCAAGAAGAGAGGGAGACAGAAGGAATTCCGACTCTGGAGGCTTCCCACCAAGCACTCATGCAGATCGCCGCCCGAGCAAGCTGCATCCAAGCTGCATGAAAACGTCCACCCGAAAGTCGAGCTCCACCACGGAGATCGGGCTCCCCTGGTCCTCCATGCTGTAGAAGGACATCTTCGGAACTGGGTTTCTAAATACTCGCTTCCAATAAAACACTTTGGGGCCCAATCCTGCCGAAATCATCCCTGCCCTGTTAACCTTAGCTTGCATGACGGGAGTCCGGAGCAAGAGCAGGAGCATTAGCAAGAGCAGCACTGAGAGCAAGAGCAATAGCAAGAGCGGGAGCGGGAGTAAGAGCAAGAGTAGAAGCAAGAGCAAAGGCAAGAGCAGGAGTAACAGCAAGTGCAAAAGACAGAACAAAGGCAAGAGCAAGAACAGGAATAAAAGCAAGAAGGCAGAAGCAAGATCAAAGGCAAGAGCCAGAGCAGGAGTAAGAACAAGCGCAGGAGCGAGAGCAACAGACGCAGCAGCAGCGGGAGCAACAGCCAGTGGGAGCAGGAGCCTGTCACAGAGCTAGAGCAGGAGCAAGAGCAAGCGAAGATGTGTTTTATTTGGGGGGAGGAGGGGGGCCCCCGATGTCCCTTGGGCCCTGCCTTTCCGTTCGCTGGGACTTTGGCAAACAGAACAGGAAACTGGTAGACCTCGCGACAGGTCAAGAGTCTGAGAAGCCGACACATCTCCTACAGCGCCGAATCAAGCCGCCCTGGCATTGAGTAGTGAAAGAATAATGGATACCAAGTGCATGTGGCTTGTTCCTGCTCCATCACGACACCAGACTTCCCACGCGGACGTCTTCTCTCGTTCAGACCAGATGGGCCTCGATCGCCTTCGTGACGAGGCCACAATGGCCCCAAACCTCAAGCGGATCTCACTGCAACAACCGGCTGCAACGGACCCTCCTGATCCCACATGTCAGAAAGGGCTAGCAGCTCTGTCTGAGCACCAGGCATTGCCACCCAAAATGTTCACAACGTCCTTAGCATGGATCGACTTTTTGCAGGAAACCAGGCCACTAAGTCACTGAGCTTGTCTCCATTCAGCCAAGCTTCCCCTGGCAGCAAGATCCGGGTCAGATCTCTCCACTTGGGAGGGTTGCCTGGCTTCACATCAGCCCCACCTCGGAGGAGTGACCCCAAATGATAGGATGAGAACTATTTTAGGGTTTAGGGTTTTTTTTAGGGTTTAGGGTTTAGGGTTGAGGGCCAGAAACCCCGCCCATCTTGTTCTAAGCGCATACCGACACGGCCCAAGTCCAACTGGGCCAGCGGCTGACGTCAAAGTGAGCGGTTGCTTCTGGTATCGCCAGCGCATTTTGGCCCGCCGATCCGTCCACGTCCACTTCTGCCAGGGAATCTTGTATCACGAGCATTTACTACTACAACCTCGAGCTGTCTGGCCTAAAAATACAACAATTTCAAACGTTAGAGCAGATGTTGTCCCCAACCGTCACCTTCCAGCACCAATGCGTCATCATCGCTCACGAAGCTCACGTCGCTTGACTCTTCAGCGCTGGTCTCGCTTTCTGCGACGCTGCCATGGCTGGAGAATGCGAACATGGGGCGGGGTTATGACAAGAAGCGATCCCTCTTTGGGTCCTTATGCTAAGGATCTACTGTTTCGGGCTTAGATTGTGGCTTGTTGTGTTTTCAAGGGAAGAACTCGAAGCCAGGGAAGATGTACGACGAAACCTTCCTGGGCATAGGCATGTGAATCGTGGGCCCCAGTAGCACTTGAGCGTCCCCATGTCGGGGGAAGCCTGAAAGCACACAAGCATACGCTGCGGACGTTAGGCCGTGAAGTCGACACGAGCAAAGCGGCGGATAGCACTCACAGCGAGACTCACGAAGACTGTTAGGCCTTGGTGTCATCCGCGGACAGCACTGAGAGCACCTGAGGCAAAACGCGCACGAAACTTTCTCCGACAAGGCACCAGTCACTGGCAAGAGATCATTCGGATTCAACTCGCTTCATCGGAGAGGGCTCGAGAACAATGCCGAATCGGCTCAGCCGAGCGAACAGGACAAGTGAAAACCACACAGTGTGGACGCGCACAGAAATCAGAGGTTGTGTGCGTGCCAGCATGAAAACTGTGCGTGTGGAAGTGTGTGATACTTTGTCTGGGCTATGGGGCAAACTATCGGAGAGCAGATTGATACTTCATTCTCGATTCGAATATTGAGCTCCAGCGCTGTGTTGTCATTTTTCAGTGTGAAGTGCGGTCTTGCGTGAGCTTCCGAGGCGGCAGTCTCGCTTCTGATACACTCCTTCGGCTAGGAGGCACGCAGGCTTGGGCGAAGTACCAATTTTGGACACAGATGTTGCCAACTCCTGCCAGCAAGGTTCGGTCTTTGCCTGGATGAAATACCATTTCCACGCGGGGACGTTAATTGTTGACAGTAAGCTGAACAAACAAACAAAAAAAGACAGGAAAATCTACAGAGCCTCACATGGGACTCCTTGGGACGCTTTCAGGCAGCCTCAATGTGCAATGCTGTGCTTTCACGGGACCTGTCTCCCGTAGGCTAAGCTCCAAAAGTGGTGTTGCCTCGCCCCTTTGAAGTCGCTCCTGGCCTTTTTTTGCGAGCTCCTTGGGCTACCCTTTGAGATCCGACTCAAAGCCCTAAGGCTTGAAGGGCTCCATATGCATGCTAGTGGCCACTCCGTCTTCATGTCGTCCCCCGTCATCTCTCCGGACACATCCGCCAAGCACCTCGCCAGGCAACTCTTCTTGCACATGTGACCTTCTTCGGGAGAAGGGGTCAAACGCAGGAGTATCTCCAGCCGCACGAGATCCCGGGATTGCACGGGAAGTTCCGATGGAAGCACCTTTTGCCAACAAATCGCGATTCTGGGCCTCGGTAACTTCGTTTTTCAAAAGCTCCAACAAATTCCTTGTTGATTCCTGAAGGTGGCTGCCCCTCCATCGGCTCTAGTATGGGCACCGACCTAGCCTTTGTGGGCGACTTCATCTCATGGCCCAAGAAGCTGGGATAGGGGCTTTGCAAAAAGCTTAGGGGTGCCTTGAAGGTTGCGGAAAGGATCCTTGCTCAGGGTCCCTTGCGTGTCTGCCAGATAAGCGCTGTTCCTGGCTTCTGTTGAGGATGCCACCACGAAGGCAGCACGGCAGCTGCCGACTTTCTCTGAAAGTCTTCGGTGGCTCTGCCTGCCAAGACAATGAAATCTTGCAGCTGATGCGAAGCATCTACAAGGACTTTATGAGGCTTCTGTAAGGGTTCTAAGGTTCTATAATTCTATAGAGGTTTCATGGCTTCTCGAGAAAAGCAACATGCACTCTCCTGACTCTACTGCGAAACACCTTGAAGAACTGCAGCTGCACGGTCCATCGGCACAAAGCCAGCGCCAGTCACGATGGAACAAAAGCGCCCACAGCTCCTTCATCCATACAACACGGCCGTGACATCCAGCTAGCTTGCTCCACATTTCAACTGCTACGTTGATGGCATGGAAGGAAACCCAAACAGCGAGTTACTTGTAGGTCTGCCTCAGCATCCACGGCGGCAAAGTCTACCCGGCACGAGCCTGAGCAAGAACTGCACCAAACGAGGCTGTCATGAAGCACAACAAGTCGGCAGCTCATGCTCAGGCTTTAGATCCTGACCACCACAGGCCAGCACGTCACTGGCGTGCAGCAGTCGCAAGCAATGCACCTGAAGCTTGCAGGGTATAAAACGTCAGGTGTTCAAGGTGGGACATCCTACATAATATACTAATACTATAGTATAATATAGCATAACATAATATAATATAATAAAATGCAATATTATATATTGTAATGTAGTACTTCCCTGTGGACCTTCAGCTCTCGTGGGAGTGGAGTCCATGGCATCCGCAAGCAGTGACAGCTTGCACTACTTTGACCCCATGGTGTCGTCAAACGTGCTAGGACAACACCTCACAAAGACTTCGAATCTAAGGAGTCTGCATGCTGTGATTGACTGACCCTCCGGACCCGCCTTCTAAGAAGTAGCCCTCTCAACACTGAATTGTTCGCCAGTGTATGCACACACGTTGATCGGGTCTGCCGTGTTCCTAAACCCCTCCCGACGTTCCTGCGACAGCACCGAATTACGTGCCAGCGATGAGGACTACAACAACTAATGACGGACATGATTATGATGACGATGATGATGCTGCTGGTGTTGATGATGACCAGCGTGAGTCTTATCGTGGCTGGCGTTGTTGCTCTTTCCGTCATTCTTCTTCGTGGCTTGTCGCTGTCATGATTCATGGCCAAGGCGAGGAGAACCCCGCGAAGTGCCACTTTGTGGCTTGATCGTCGGACACGGGCACATTCACTAAGTGACACTACCAAGCTCTGATCGCAACACCACATGCCACATGACCGCAGACAGGCAGAGCAGCAGCCGTGGCAGCAGTTGGTAATGGACGCACGACCACTCCGAGCATCATTAATTCTCCACCACCACCACAGAAATGCTGCCACAAAACACCGGAGCAAGCTGCAATTTGTGTCACTCCGCGAGTGCATGACGTCAAACACTTCCAGCGCAATGCGCAGCTGATACGTCTGGGGAGCAACCCCACCTCCACCCCAACACACCTTGTGGATAATTAAATGATAAATATCAGCTTATCGTCAATGCCTTTCTGGCATGCCCTGTCAACTTCCCGGACGGAGGCGGGTGCTGTGCATGAACTTGGGCTCAGCAACTGAGCCATGTTGGCATTCTTACCGCACTTAATCTTGCTTGTCAGCCGTCGGGTTCTTTAGCATCATGCGGCAGCGCTACAGCATGAGAAAGGCGCTTAGACTTCGGGTTACACAAAATGCATTGCACATGCCCGCTGCCCAATCTTTCTTTGGGCTCACTCTTGTTCGGCCATGGGGGCTGACAGCTGCAGTCACTTGCCCTTCCAGCCTTTGCCACCCTTGCCAAAGGGCATGTGGCCGTAGCCCTTTCCGAAGTCTTTGCCTTTTCCCATGTTTCCCATGGGAGCCATACCCATGGGCGCTCCGCCCATGCCTTGCTGCATAGGACCCATGCCAATGGGACCTACCGGCATGATTCCCTTGCCGTAGCCTTTGCTGTGGCCCTTCATGCCCATGCCCTTCCCGGAATCCTTTCCGCCCTTATGGTGGGAGGAGACGGCGTGGGTGATTTTCAGCTTCGCTGACTCATCACCCATGTCCACGAGCAGTGCCCTGTGTCTTCGTCCCTCCTCGGCGATCTTCACGAAGACCTGGGGGTATTCGATCTCCTCATCCAGCAACGACTCAAGGACCTTGTCCTTAGTGATGAAAACGCAGTCCTTGGCTAAGTCCACCAGCTGTGCTTCGTTTTCAATCCCGTAGCTCTTCAGGTTCAGCTGCTTTCCGTAGTATTTCTGATAGTAGAAGGCCAGGTGTTCCAGGACGATGCCTTTCCTGTCCGGATCGTCACAATCCTTTTTGAACGCATGGGCCATCAAGTGGAGTTCAAAGCTCAGGGACATGAGGGCCCAGTCCTCATGGGCGAACTCCTTGTACAAAGGTGTGCCGCCGCCAATGTCGTCGACCTCCTCCACACCAAAAATGTCGACACCCTCGAAGTCCGCCTCTTCCTCCTCTTCCTCCTCCTCTTCATCGACTTCCATTGCTTCGGCTTTCTCCTCCTCCTCCTTCACTTCCTCGTCTTTCTCCTCTTCCTTGGCCTCTGCCTTCTCGGCCTCTTTCTTTGCCTTTTCTGCAGCCGCCTTCGCTTCTGCCATCTTCTTCTTGTTCTCCTTCGCCTGCTTGGCCTGAGCCTTCTTCACCAGCTTGGACTTGTACTCCGGTACCTTGGCCTGCCAATGCGAGAGGACCTTCTGCCAGGCAGCCGCTTTCGTCTTGAACCATGTGGAGGGGGTAAGGTCTTCCACCCGGCTAGTGAGCTTCTTTTCCTTGATCCATTTGCTCACATAATCGACGGCTTTGCCACCCTGGCTCCACTCATACGCGATGTCATCGAAGCCCTCCTCCAGGTCAGGGACCGTGAACTTCGTGAAGCATCGGTTCAAGAGGCTCGAGGCCACATCGGGCAATGCCGTCTTGCGGAACTTCATCTTCTTCTCCTCCGGGGTGAGTTCCACCTTTGGTGGCTCCTCGTCCACCTCCTCAGCCTCTTCTTCCTCCTCTTCCTCCTCCTCGTCCATTTCCACGTCTTTCTCCTCCTCCTCTTCCTCGGGGACCTCTTTTCCTTCGGCCTCTGCCTTTTTTCGCTCCGCTTCCTTCTTGGCCTCCCGCTTTCGAATTGAGCACTAACGATACAGGTAGCAATGCAGGGGCGAAGGGTGTAACAATCATCTACGACCAGACAACTGCATGAGCATCCCCAAAAAGAGCAACACACCTGTATGCCAAAGGGAAGACTCCAAAAGTCAGCGCCTTCTCAGCGGCTTTCTTCATCTCTTCGAGCTTCTTCTGGCGCTCCTTCTCCGCCTTTTTCTTGGCTTTCTCGATCTCTTTCATCTTCTTCTCGGCGGCCTTCTTCCTGGCCGCCTCTTCCTTCTTCATCTTGAACTCCTTGTCGGACTGCTCCTGCTTCTCAGCCAACATGAGCTCCTGGCTCATCTTCACGAAGTCTTTGGTAGCCTCGCCGACGACGACCTTGGCCACCTTCTTGTAGCAGCTGTCAAAGTAAGTGCTCAGAGCGTCGGCCCTGGTCTCTTTGATGAGGTTCCCACGGACCTGCAGACACCGGGAAAACTCGTGACTAGTGGAGATCATGGGGACCACCGGAAACAAGAGTAAGAGGAAGAAGAAGATAAGGAGCAACAACAGCTACAGGTACAGTGACAGAACTGCCAGGCATCACCGTAGTAAACCTATGCCAAAAAAGGACATGTCAATGACTTTGCCGAGTCTTAAACTCTTGCAGCTGCAACTGTCGCCGAATAAGTGGTGAGTAGTTCACTGAACATTCACAAAGCATGGAAGCAGCTTGCTGCATGATTGCAAAGGTAACACACGATACAACAGGAGCAACCATCGTCCCTCCAGATTCATCTTCATCTCTACCTGCCAGTGCCAGCACCGGTAGAAGGAGCATGGCCGCCGGAGTCACCATCACCACAACTACCCTAGATGAACATCGTCAGCTTCGGTCTCAGAAGCTGTTCGAGTGCGGGAGGCCTCCATGACGATGTAGTTTCGCTTCTGGAGCGGGGCGACGGACTGAATCATCCGCCGAATGCTCATGTCGTCCATCTCGGGGATGCCGAAGCGAAGGTCCGGCTTATCGTTGCTGCCCACGCCTTTGGGGGCATAGATCCCACTCTTCTCAGCCCAGTCTAGAAGCATGCGGTCGGAGATCTCCGTGTACTTGGGATTCTTCTTCTTGAAGGAATCCAACCAATCGAAACCGCCTTGGTCCGGCAGACAAATGGGAAAGAGCACTTCATACTCCGTTTCCTTCTCTGCTTCCTGCAGCGAGGCTTGCGCAGTAGTCGCGTTTTGCGGCATGTGGCAAGTGAAGGGCAGGGGAGCCTGAGGTTGTGGGCCGAAGCAAAGGGCAACCGCCAGGTTGCGGTACGTCACTGTGGGATAAAGGGGCTTGCCTTGAAGAGCAGAAGGCAATGCCTGTGGCTTTGTAACCCGCTTGCCATCCCTGAAGAGGCTGATGGTGTTATGGTTCGGAGACCCCTTCTCCAGGTTCAACACCACGGCTACAATGCTGCCCTTGCCGTATCTGGCACCCATACCCAGCGATGTCTTCTCCTTGTTGTGCATCATAAAGCCCTCCATGTCGAAACAAACACTCGTCTCATCGTTGCCCATGAGTGGCGATGAGGCAGCTGTTGAGAAGCCAACGCGAAACACGAACTTGGGGTGCGGCTTGTTGCTTTCCTCCGCCCTCGAAACCTGTTCGACGATTTTTGCCTCGAACATGTAGCGGCCGGCCTTCAGCCCAACATTGCTTCTCGCACCTGCCAAGAGGTGCCTGACTCCGCCGTCAGACAAAGGCAAAAGTAAGGAGCTGTTGGATGACAGGACGACATTCAAGGTGGTGTCCTGCGTGAGGAATGTGATCTTGTCCTTCAACTTGGCCCCCTTCAAGGCCACGGCATCTTTCTCCACCTCCTCCTCGGGTTCCTCTTTCTTCTCCTCTGCTTCGGCCGCTCCTTCTTCGGTCTTTTGCTTCTTAGCCGCAGGCTCTGCCATGAGCACAGTGTTCTTGGATGCGGCTACGGCCCGTGTTCTCTACAGGCAGTCTAGGTTTTTGCATCATGTGACACGGCAAACGTGCTGGGATACCAGCATTTTCGCGATTGACATGCAAGTCTGCTCGAAGGCTCAAAGGGCAAGATCAACACCGTCACAGCAACCTCTCAGCGGTTTTCTCTAACGAGCTTCAGGTGCCATGTCGACACGGCACCTACCTGGCCCCTACTTCGCAGTATTCAGAAGCAGCACAACCTTGGCCATGAAGCGTTGCTGATCTCTTGCAAAACGTACTGCTACTCTACAAAACTGCCCCTGTTCCGAGAGGAGATCCAAGACATTTTGAACGACACTGCTCAAATTGGTAAGGCTGATTGGAACCAAGACAGAGGCCAGCACGACTGCTTCAAACGCAGACGGCTCTCATCTCGCCTGCAAGACACGACTCAATTGCAGGGTCGAAGATCCGACGAATCCCCATCCCTCGCGGTGTCTTGCGCTGCTGGGCCGACTCTGAGGCTCAAGCTTGCGCTGCTCTGAGTGCTTCCGCCAAAGCCTGCGGATCCTTAGCCCCATGGGCCACCCATGGATTTTCCCACGGTCCTGTAAGGGCTCTGAGCGCAGGGCTGCACCCAGTGCCTCAACAGAAATTCAAACGCCAAACTCCGAGCTGCAAATGCTGCCAGGTTAATGAGCCAACGGACTTGATGCAATTGTTGCTGCTCTTTCAGTGCCTGCATTGCGGGTAGCTTCCGTATCAACAAACAAACAAAAAAGAAGGCGGCAATGCTCGGTCATTCGCAAAAGCTGCCATGCCTCTGCGGCCATCGGGTTTTGCTGAGCCTGCTCATTTGTTTGCCCGCCCCGCCCCCCCCCCCCCNNCCCCCCCCCCCCCCCCCCCCAAGCATTCGGCAGTCAAATCGACGAGGCACAGCGAATTGGAGCATCTCTGGATTCATCATCATCTGCTGCCTGTCGGCTTACGACTAAATGTCATTCGCACACGTGACTCGAGAACACAGGCCAGAAATACACTTCTGGCGAGGCCATGATTTGCTCCCGCAATTCCTGCACGGGCGTGCCACGTCCCAACAAATTGCCCCACGTGCAGCCCGTGAATCGCGCACTTAAACAAGTCCAGAGCATACCAAAATGTCAAGCCCGAGCCAACCAAAATCCAAGTGCCACACGGGCTGGGTCTCCATTAAGTACTGCATCTGCGCCATCATCTCTCTGCCTTTGCAAATTGTCTAGGCAAACCCACAACACGAAGCTCAAGCAGCCCGGAAAGCTGGCGAAGCTGCTGGTAGGTTGGGACTGCTCCAACTCTTGCATGGCCTCGTTCCCGAACGGCGTCCAGAGAGTCTAAAGAGAGAGCGCTCCTCGGACCTCTTCCTGGCTGATCTTTTCGCACAGCAGGCGCCCATCTTTGGAGCTGTGGGTGAAGGCCTCGGCTTGAAAGGCGGAAACTACAAGTAGAGACCACTTGGAGTCACGAGGGGCCCGAACCCACCCCCGGCCATCCGCCAGGCGGAGGTATGTCTGCTCGCCATCCTACGGAGTGGATCCATGCGTTCATTGCAGCCGGTGACAGGCAGCTGTCCCAAGCCTCCCTCACCTCGGACACCTGGAAGACCTACACGGCAGAAACTGTCTTAGTTTGCTCTTGTCTGCACTGAGAGATCCAAACTTTCACACCGTCCCCACCTGGTGGGGGAGCAGCTGCCTGCCTGTCCGGGTCGACTTAACGTCAGGCCTCACAACGACACTCGATGAGCAGAGAACCGGCTTCGAAGAGAGCTGAGACCCCGGCTCCTCTCGAATACCGATGGAAGCGCCCTTCGGGTCGGTGACCTCACCGGGCTAGAGACTTCAGAACCCCTCTCAGACCCTGATTCGCTGGGCTGCAGGCGCGGTAAAACAGCACATCTGTCGAACTGGCCGAAGCCTCGGACGCCCCGAGCAGAACTTGTGGCTCATGTGCCCAGTGCTCTGCCGGCACCTCCTCCTCGCCTTCATGGAATAAGTACCTAGGGCTTTTCCAAGGCACAAGGCCTTGACTTGAGGCTTCCGCACCCGCGAAGAAGCCAACAGTCTATTTTAGAACGAAGCGCAGAAACAACACACAAACATGTGCAATCAGTAACGCAGGGCCGAACAGCACCCAAGCCCGAAATCCAGTCATGCATAGTGGTAACAAGACCCTCCCAAACGCTTGAGAATCCAGGATCTCCACCTGCTAAACACGGTTGGCAACATGACGTGAAACACGCTTCGGGACGGATCGGCCACGTACTGCCAATGCACGGCAGACTTCATTGATTCGAGATTCTGATTTACCCTTGTACTGGTAGTGCCAAGCTGCCATAACAGTCCCGCAGCTGCTACAGTCCCGCCTGCGAGGAAGAGCGCCTCCGCTGAACCCCGGCTCAATCCACAACAGCAGTCCGAAAGAGAAAACAACTTCGAGCCTTTCTCCAGCCAGAATCGCTGTCCATCTTGCCGCGTACTATCCCCGGGCGCCTGTCAGCTTGGACATGGCGTGAAAGTGGATGTCCTCCAATAATTACCTATACTATTTTCGGGGGTTCCTTATTGTAATCATCGTATAATATACCCCGAAACCCCTATTCTAATTATTAAGATCAGCTTGCAGACCGAGCCTGGCCTGCCGCTCAGGAGGTCACAAGGCTACGAGCAGCCGAAACGGAGGTGCCCGAAAAGTCAAGGCAAGCGTGCAGAGAGCCACTGCAAAGCAGCCCTTTCCCCTCAGTTGAAACATACTGTAGATCCTTTTTTTGCATGTTTGCCGCAACACGTCAATCAAGCTACGACGAACGACCTCACAAGTTGTGAAGCCGCCAACTCCAAGACAAGGCCATTCGTGGCTTGGCCAGGCATAGCCTGCTCCAGGATCTATTCCATAAATCTTCTTCGTGCAACTTCGTTGCTGGATGTGACTTCCCCTAATGGGACGTTGGCCAGTCACTGCACATCTCTAGGCAAGGCTCCTCAGGGTGACTTGTGATG